CACATTGTTTCTTTTCACTGCGGCACTTTTCTTCGGTGAATACACCAAACACTCTTCATTAAAAATAATCAACTCAGTACTTTGGTGTCAGGTGAGGAAATTGATTGCATCATTCATATTGATCACCACCATAATAAGTACAGCTGCATTCATACAGCTTTGTCTCGCTGATTTTTTTTAAAATCATTTATAAATAACTGATAAATGACATTGGAATGAGGCGTCCTGCATCCAAAAGATACACAGACAATTTCTCGGTAGATGAGATCGTACTCTACGCTATATTAGTCGCTTGAATTTCATATTAAGGCAAGTACATTGTCAGGAGTGTAACATAATAAACATTCCATAATTTTCCCGGTTGAATTCGAGGATATAACTCTTGAAAATATGGAAATCCAAATTGCGACGTTCTGTAAATTCGAATCTAGGGCTGATATTTTGCACTCTCATTATGGAACTGATTTTCATTTGCAGTATTGCATCATGGCAACATATTGCTTGTTGCAGTGAATTAATGTCCATAGATATGTGCGAACTTTGACTTGTATAAATATTTTGTGGTGATTTTGGCTGAGTTCATTAGGCATATGAATATACAAATATTTTAATGGAACGATACAATTTCAGAAGCGATGTTGGTTTGGGTATTTCCTAATTGTTACTGAGTGTCTTGATTACGTCGTCAATAAACGTCTAAGAATCACTTATGGAGAAGGTAATTACTTAAATTGCTATTGAGTAAACAACATTTCCAGTATCTAATTTCATCTGACTGTTCTCTAATCATCATGATGCCAACATTCAGAAGAATTGTTTCTAGCTCGGCATTTTCAAAAACACTGCTTCGGGCTCCAACTCCAGTTCCGCATTTTTGGAAGTTTGTCCCCGGCTCAAGCTTGAGTTCTAAATTTCTCTATATTCGGTTGAAGTCCCAGATTTTCCATGTGTCTCCTCCAACTTAACGATTTGCCTTAGTTCTTGAAGAAACCAAATCTGGCAAAAAAA